TCCCCCCACTGCAGCTGGTAGGTGGGTAGGTGGGTGATGTGGTTTGCCAGCTGGTCAGCTGGTCTTCCACGAGGAGATCCTGAACTTCTCTGAACCTGCAGCTGCTCTAAATGCCACATTTCTGGTGCAGCTGCTCGAGTCCGTTGGTTCTGTCCGGTGTGGGAGGACAGCCATACGAGCATGCAATGCACTGCTACTCATTCCTGCTGTTTGAATCATTATTTCGACTTCTAGATATTTCCCTCAAGGTTTACGCAGGAGGAAGGGAAACTGGAGAGAAAAACAGCAGATCCGTTTCAGGATGGTCACAGCAGGACAGCTTCCTTTGCAGCAGAATTCCAGGGTTCTTTCAGTGGGGCTGTTTTGGGTTCAAGGCCCGACTGTGTATATCTCCTGGGCCACATGATACATGAACGCACTGAAGGTTCACAACTTTCCACAATAAAAAAGCCACATTCATCTACATCCAGCATAAGATAAGAAGACAGCTTTACTTCCATTATACTTCGGCACAACAAAATTGTGGTGACATCTGTCCTTGTGTAGCAACTGTAAAAAAACATTGATGGATTGATAGAAAGGGAAAATATTCTAACACTAATTTAAGATCCAAAGTGCAGCGGAGAAAGTAACAGACGTGTCAGTTACTATATACAACGTGACATTATACACAAGGTAAAGTCATTAAACGTAAAATATACAGGCATTACCATAGTAACTTTCGTACCATTTTTAGAAATCATTGCAGGGGAAAGGGGAATAGGGGGGGGGGTTGTTTGCCTTGATTACTCCCACCTACCTTAGACTAAATAAAGAGCCATAAAGTGGGAAGTGCCACAGCCTGTAAGCCCTCCTGTGACCTCGTCCGCCATGGCTGCTGTCACTCCGGGTGCTCCGTGACGATCACGCTCCCCTTTCTAGGCCCACATCACCCGCTTTGCCACGCCATCACTACCCACAAACGAGGCAGGAATCTCACACTGCTCTGCATCCGTCGACCCTTCTACCCTATCATGAGCGGGTGAGTCCGGCCGGATCAGACATGGTGACCCAGAATAGCTGTTGACGTCATGGGATGGGACATGACAGACACGCCCCGGCACAGGGGTCAGGAAGGGAATAAAGGACACGGGAGAGCCAGGGCCTGGAACCAACCCTGCACCCCAGGTCCACATACACCCATAAACTCCTACAGGAACTGCAGACTTTCCCACAATGCATTTAGGCAACTGCATGTGATCTAGTTTGAATAAAACTTCAGCAATTCAGATTCAGGTCCCTGATCACTCTATAGTCAACACTCCTGGACCCTGATCACTCCACAGCACACATTCATGGGTCCTGACCACTCCACAGCTCACACTCCTGGACCCTGATCACTCTATAGCTCACACCCCTGAACACTGATCACTCTATATCCACACTTCTGGGCCTTGATCACTCAACAGCCCACACTCATGGCCCCTGCTCACCCACTTCACCATTTACCTCTGGCCACTCCCATCAAATTGTGAACAACGTCGCCAGTGCTGCTGACAGGAGGCGTGACTGATCCCATCACTTTTTTTGGCTTCTCACCACCCACCTGCTGCCCCCCACCCCCCCAAACCCCGTCACAAGGGCCAGCTTGATGGCCATAGTGTGTAACCTGACACTGGATATCCCCCCTCCAAATGTCACATGTGAGGCGTGTGCTGGAGGGGACAATACAAGGGGTAAGGTTTCCATCAGAACTTCTCGCCTGGCAAACTTAGCTCTGACTCACTCGGGGGGTTTCTGACACTCTGATGCACAGGGAGATTCCACGCTCGACTGGCAGCCCTCAGAAATTCACTCTTTCCATTCCTGAGCTCCTAGGACTTTCCAACATCCACGTTGAAGCTCTTGATTGGCTACAGGGGTTAAGCCATTCACACAACTTGGAGTTGTTTGATTGGAGAATTTGCTAACATAATCAGGAAACTTGGAGGCAACTGATTGGAAACAGGGCAGAGAATATATTACAGACATAGAAGGATTTTATTGCTGTAAGACAACCTGGAGGCTGCTGATTCGCTAGGGCAGTTAAACAACTTGGAAGCTTTTGATTGGCCTAAGAGTTCAGGAGGCTACAGATAGGTCTGCCACTGTTTAATCCCTACACATTGGTACTCATGTATCTACTGTCTTTCTTCACTAAGGTCCTAAAAAAAGTTCACCTTTGGGCCCATTAAGGGAACACTGTCCCAGTTATCAGTGACTTACTCCTTAACCCTCAGAGCGTGGTAAACAAATTGACCAAGCGCTTTCCTCTGCCTCAGAGCTGAAGCCTACATTGTATCTTATCTGCCATTATTTACATGTGACTTGCAAAAAATGAGCTCCTGGTGTTCCGTTGTTATCTTACAGTCTGGCGACCCAGGCCAATCTTAACTACATACAGAAGGACGTGACAAGGTACTGATGCTCAATCAGCCCATGAGCCCTCTGCTAATGAGCATTAGCTAATTAGGCAGATCCTGGTCCCAGTGCTAATGAGCTGAGGAACTGGAAGATAAGAGGAACACAATGCCTGCAAGGATGGCTGCCAGATGATTGGATCAGCTCAGACTGCTCCATGGTTACTCATGAGGCGGCAGCCCTGAACATGGCCAGGGCTGTTACAACAGACCTGGTAATCAATCACAGAGAAGGGCATCAAGTGAAACATGTTACGACAGACCTGATAATCAATCACAGAGAACAGCATCACGAGAAACACATTACAACAGACCTGATAATCAATCACAGAGAAGGGCATCACGAGAAACGCTTGTCTAGTAGCAATATGAGGAAAATCAAATTCCTGTAGGTTCATCCATGGCGGTGTTAGTTTTTGTACTTGGGTGACAGAGAGAAAGCAAAGCAGGAAAATATTTGCAGTCACTCAGCAGTGAGTACACCAGCTATGAGGTCTCCGTACAGGCGTGACCATCTGGCAGAACTGTGGGGTGTCACACAGCCAGAAACACGCATGTACGCATGAATGTCAGCTGTGATTGCCAGGACCTGAAGGAGGTTTAATAAGTGGCTGTAGTGCAGAGCTGAAGCTGCATAAAGTGTCTGTGTGTCTGTCTGTCTGTGTGTCTGTCTGTCTGTCTGTGTCTGTCTGTTGTATCAGTGGGTTTCCGTGACTGGTGTATCCCTTCCTAATTTATACATTTTTTAAAATTAATGGTGCCCCACAATCCTCCCCCCCCCCTCCCTTTTCCTGTCCCACCTGGAGGTCGGCCCGGCTTAAGCTGTTCACCCCCCTCAGGGTTGAGTTGTGACCTGGGCCCAATATTTTTAGGTAATGCCCTTTAAGTAAGGTCATGATTTCTGACGGGTGGGGCACCGTCTGAGCTCTGCACCGTCTTACTTGGGGCTCTGCCGGTTGGGCTTGCTTAGTGGGGTCCTTGTCCATCATTGGGGTAGCTAATTCAGTGCCTGTGCTTACACTACTCAATGGACAGGCAGAAGTTCTTAAAAAAATCAATGTTTCCTTTACTTATTTGTACAGAATGCCCCCAAAGTATGCTAAAGCGGAAAAAATAAAATTAATTAATATTCAGGAAGTAGCCTTTGAGTTCCTTGGTGTTACAGATGACAGTTAACACACTTTACAGAATCTGTGAAATGTATATACACTTTGACAGTCATTTATATCACAGGCAGAATGTGATAAAGTCGTTGGTGCATGAAACATGTAGATCCACTAAAGGCCGTCTCAGCATCTATCAGTCCCAGGCTGCTCGATTTGGCACAGAGAAGGGGATTATGGGATTATAGAGTAAAAAAGCACAGAATGTGGCCCCTCATCAGGAAGAATTAGACTGACAGGCCTTGGTAGTGCATGACTTTGACATGTAGGAAACATTTTTTTGCTCAGAATTGTAAATAAACAATAAGTTTTATTTGCAAGGGAGGGCAGTAATGCACAAGCTGTCTGCAGAATCAAGCAGATGCATTAAACTTTATAAATAAAAATGTTCAGAAGGGGAGATGCAGGTCAGGTCATATTAGACTTCTAGTACCAGCGAGTCTCAAGACAATGCTGGCCAATCATTGGCCGGTGTCAGCCAATCACCAGAGAGAGTTGGCTGACCAATTACAAGACGGCCAATCAAAAAAGATATTAGCCATCTACCAAAGTGGTCTCAGGCCAATCTGCTGGACTGGTACATTTAACCAGGTACATTTAACTTAAAAAATAAGTCTGCCTGGGGATCCTGTGTTTTCCCAACCCAGGTTGGCTCCTAACCCACATTGGGTCATAAACCACCTCCTTTTCTGCACTATGCTGTTTAAATAATAAGTCTTCCTTTGGATGGCGTTGTCTCCGATCCAGGCAAGAGCACGGAGCAGGTGCCTCAGAACCTGTCCGGCTGCATGGTAACCCTCTTTGAGGTATTTGGTGGGTGTTTTTTAAGAATATTTGAGTGGAAAAAAGTCATTGTACAAACACAGCATTCAGTTACCTAACACTAAAGTAACTAAATTAATGTTTGACAAACAACAACATTGCTCAGGCCGTAATCATGGAAAGCAGCCTTTAAAAAGTAAAAATGTCCCCGCATCAAACCTGGCCTCTAGTTTAAGCCCAATGTTTATGAACTCTGAATAATATTTTAACTTATACAGTTTTTGTCCACTACAGAGAAAAAGGTCCCACGGGAGTCAGGGTAGGAATACTAAGAGTGTGTTGCCAAACTCGTTACCCATGATTCCCGGCGCACTCCTTGATGTGGCCACATTCCCTGCGACCAGGACGACTGGAAGCCATTTTTAACCCAGAAACTAAATAAAGCTTCCTGGGAAGTGCATTTTTACCTTCTCCCCCTTTAGACTGGCCTTCATGGCCGAGGTGGGGGGTTGTTCAGCCAGTGTGCAAGTGCCTATTTTCAGAGTTTGGGACCATCACTCACCAACACTCATCCCACTCAGGAAAAACCAGCAAACAAATTTTAACTTCTACCTTTAATTATCATCTGGAAGGGATCCAAAGGTGACCAATAAAATGTTAAATTTATCTACAGAAGGTACAGCTCAGGATTTCATGGAGTGATTCGATTACTGAACTATGAATAAATGTCTGAACTATGTATAGATTGGCAGTGATGTTAGTGACGGTAGCCCTGGACCTCGTGGGATCCAGAAAAGCAATCATTCCTCTCACTGTTGTGGAATCTGCCTGTAAAGGGACACAGGTTTCCTTTTGGGAAGGGCAGACTCTACCATCTGCTCAAATCCATCCTGACAGATTCTGGACCCAAGTTAACGGGGGAGAGCTGTGATTTGCCACTTATTCCCCAATTTCACTCAACGGTGTTCACGAGCATGAAGCTCTCGTGAGGGTAAAGGACCACGGAGCAGATGAAGTGGTGTAATTCAGCACGATTAGAGGCTTATTCCTGCCCGTGGTTTTCCGTATTGGAAAGCCAAGCCGGAGAACTGAGACTTTGTGGGTTTAACAGTCGGTGACGTGGTTGTGACAGGTTGCAGAAATGAGGTTATGCATATTCATATTCATACTGCCAGCATTTTCTGTTTACTTCTGTTTTCAGGGTGAACTCATCTGCAGCATTTAGTCCACGTGTCATTTCAGATGAGATGGTCCAGGCAAGGTCATTCAGACCCCTGCCATGAGGCTTTGGTTTCTGAAAAATAAACAAAAATACAGACCAAAAAGCAAATGAATGAATAGAAAAGGAAACAATATATTGTAGTAATGTCAAGTTTTGTCTTTACATAAAACTAAATAACTGCTTTAAGTCCTGTGCTCCCTGTCTTACAAAGAATGTGCACTAGACTGCTTCCATCCATCCATCCATCCATCCATTTTCCCTCTGCTTTTCCTGATGAGGGTTGTGGTGACAGCACACCTCTCTTTCCATGGCTACAGTCATTAGCATGCTCTGGAAGATCGCCAGATGTTCCAAAGGCAGCTGGGAGACATAATCCTTCCTGCATGTCCTGGGTCTGCCCCAGAAGCTTCACCCGGAGGGGCGTCCTTGGAACCACCTCCCTTGGGAGTTGCCCACCAGACTACATTACACTGAAATACAGAAACAGCACCTCCATAAAGAGTAGGTACGGTTTTCTTCGTATCCTGCATGTTGATATGGGGGTTACTTGACAGGTAAAGAGGGGGGCGGTGCAAGCCCCCACTCTTTCTGCCAGCCCAGGCCACCACAAAGGCAATAAATGAGTTCAGTCACTGTGAGAGTAAAATCGCGGTGGTTAATAGTTGGCTACCCTCCCAGGAGGGCTGCTGGTCCCGCTGAATCATTTCAGCATCATATCCTGTTTTATAAATGGGTAAAAATGAACACATCAACTAAGAGACAAACAAATAATAACAGTAATTGATTTAATGGCCATGGACCCAATAGGGGGTATTTTGTGGCTGTTAGATATGAGGGAGGGGTCAGTGCCCCTGTCAGTCACCATCACCGGGGATCGTTTTATCCCATTTTATGTAAGGATTTCACGGCTCGTTGACCTGCTCCATAACCTCAGTGGCTCTGCCGTTAGATGTTGATAACAGTCACGTTTTTCAACCCAAAACATCTGACTTAGAACTAAATTTGAAAGAGTAAAATGTGAAATATGGATTAATGCATACGGCACAAATTGGGACCAAACACTCTGGTCATTCCTCCACCTTCCTCTCAGTCTTCCTCTCTGCAGTCATCCCCCTGCTGTATCTGTACCTAGCAGCCACTGGATAAGCCAATCCTCAACCTTCCTCTCATTGTCCTGGGAGAATAAGCCAATCCTCAACCTTCCTTTCATCGTCCACAGAGAATAAACCAATCCTCGACCTTCCTCTCATTGTCCTGAGAGAATAAGCCAATCCTCAACCTTCCTCTCATCGTCCTGGGAGAATGAGCCAATTCTCGACCTTCCTCTCATTGTCCTGGGAGAATAAGCCAATCCTCGACCTTCCTCTCATTGTCCTCAGATTATAAGCCCATCCTCAACCTTCCTTTCATCGTCCACAGAGAATAAACCAATCCTCGACCTTCCTCTCATTGTCCTGGGAGAATAAGCCAATCCTCAATCTTCCTCTCATTGTCCTGGGAGAATAAGCCAATCCTCAACCTTCCTCTCATCGTCCTGGGAGAATAAGCCAATCCTTGACCTTTCATCATCCTGAGAGAATAAGCCAATCCTTGACCTTTCTCTCATTGTCCTCAGAGAATAATCCAATCCTTGACCTTCCTCTCAGTCTCCATCTCTGTGGTCATCCCTGTGCAGTGACCACAACTATTGCCAAGGGAAAATAAGCCAATCCTTGACCTTCCTCTCAATCTGCCTCACTTCAAAGGCTGGGAGTGTCATGTTGACACTGAAACTGGAACGTCATGCTCTGATCTTTGCTTGGCGTAGGGGTATATCTCATGCTGGGTGGATATGGGGCCGGGGGGCATCCATGTCGATAACAACCTGACTGTACACGATGTGACAGGTGGCTTGGGGCCTGTCCTGCCTTCTTAACATCCTGAAAGCCTCGGTTTTAAGGGGCGGTTCCAAGGGCTCACCTACTCACCAGCCATGTCTCCCGCATCACAGAGAATGGAGGTGCTCCGTAGATAGGGGCAAGAGGGAATCTCACAGCTCAGGAACCAGAATTTTAACTAAAGACGTTTAACTGGTTCCTAGATAACAGGAGCAAGGTAATTAACATGAGTTATCATGAGGCTTAAGCTGCTTTATATGGAAGCAGTTTCCAAAAAAATGATAAAACTGTAAATGAGCATGAAAAAAACATGGTCACAGAAATCCTACAGAATTCCCAAGCTACTGAAATCCCATTTAAATGGGTTAGTCTATTTGCTTCATAAACAAGTAAAATGTATTTAATTATGCTGCTTCAATGCATTTCCAGCAAAGCCTGCCAAGGTTTTCAATTTCAGACTAAGGTCTGACTTTTTTTACACCCCATTCTGCAATGGTTTAGTCCAAATTACTTAACATTATTGACATGGATTCGAGTGTACCATGGAGAATTGAGCCTGTTAAAGTGTGCCAGCTATCCTCGAGTGAAACAATAATTAAATTACTGAGCCGATTAAACTTTGGCTCTCACAGTTCAGAATCTGCTCTTCCTTTTTGTTCTCCAGAGGACAGTTATCCAGGAGTTTTTCCGCCACAATAAACCGCTCTGATTGGATACTGAGAGACGAGCAGCTTCAGTGTATTTAAATGCCAAGTAGGCTTTAATGTGATGATGGATCCTGCTCTGTGATTCATACCCGTCTTGATTTTCCGTGCAGGAACAAACCCTGAAACTTATGTGGTCCTGCAGGGAACGACTTCGTAACCTGTCCAAAGGATCACCGTGCCTACTCTGCTGTACATCTGGGGATTATTAGGTATTTAAGTAAAGTAGTTAATCTGTGAATAGTATTAAAATAAAACAGGGACAAACATGAATCTCTTCAGAGGGAGATCCAGACTGGCAGTTTGACATTCCAAAATCTGAAAAAGGCTTCTTCTGATCTTCTGACGTTTCGACACTGCAGTAAACTTCTGTGCTCTGTTTCTACGCACAGTTGCAGTCTAATGATGGCCCAAAAACACTTGCTTTTGTGTGAGTTTCAGCCTTTGCCTTCGTTTCCAGCACCCTGTTGACGTCCCATACAGTAGACAGCTCGTACTTTGGCCTGAGAGAGACTCACATTGTGAAATGCTGCCTGCCTGCCTGCCTGTCTGTCTGTCAGTTCCAGGGGGCTGTCAGTCCCCTGTTTCATCCCCCAGGCAAAAGGGAATGCACCTACTTCTCTTGTTTTTTCCAATATTATGGGCATATGCCAAACTTCATGACGCAGATGTCCATCATACTTTCTCCTGTCATTGGGATACCATCTTCTATGCTCTGTTTGTACCATAGATGACTCAGTGTCCGATAGGTCATTTATACCGCCAACAAATGAATTAAGCAGAGATATATTGTAGATTGGCTGTTCTCTTCATTAGGGAGTACAGCACAACATATCTGTTTATTCCACATCTATGGGTTTGTATCTGACATTTTAATATGATTGAATGACATAACCAAGTGGATGTATCATGATCATCATCATCACTATCTTCATCATAATCATCACCATCTTCGTCATCATCTTCATCATCATCACCATCATCATTATCATCTTCTTCTTCATCTTCATTAACATGTTCTGTTGGCACCACTCATTTTATGCCAGCACCAAGCTGCATGGCAGACCATAATCACGCGTCCATGGTGAACAGACCACCTTCAAGAGGTGGGTCTACAGGACAGCTGCTGCAACCCAAACCCTCCGTACATCTTCTTAATGATAATGATGTTCTCTCTGCGAGTTCAGAAGGCCTTCACATCGACGGGTCATGGAAAGAAACACCATGCTAGTTCCAGCCAGCGGCAGAAAATCACAGCATGTGGCAGAAACTTTCCCTGGCGGGTAATGAGCTTTAATCATACCGTGGCACCCGCCCTGTGACGCAGCCGTGAGTAAGACCTGTGGCTTAACAGCCCACCCCCTATCCGTGCTCCCGTTAGTACGATACTTATAAAATAAGTGCGACAGAACACACCGGGATGGTTCTTGCTGTCACAACACCAGTTTGAAGTTGATTAATGCATGTGCCACATCAATTATTCATGGAATTCCTGGAACAGACAGACCTGTCACTCGTTTGTGTGGGATGTCATGGTAACACAATAGTGCAAGTATTCCGAGGAGAGCCATTCATTTTCCATGCTGAACGCAAGGCCCACAAACGGGAAACACGTCCTACGCTTCAGAGCAGGAAGTGCCCTAGGACGCAGCTACCATAACGGCTGCCGCGGCTTACCGAACGCTGCGGCCCTGTGTGTTTGGGTGGGCGACCAGCCCACACCGGCCCAGCGGGCCACTGTTTTCTCGGCAGTACGCCAGCGCACGCGCCCTGTTTGTTTGGAGCGTGGGAGGTGATGGACGCACTGTGCCAGACCTGCCAGTATTTGAGATTTTTTTTTACCCGGGAATGGAGGAGTGACGATGGTCTGCAAAACAATGACGACGGCCTCTCCTTCCAGACCTGCTCCCTTCAAAGCTCATGGTTGCATGGATGAGTCTGCCCTGCCACTAGGAGGGGGGATGTAATTTGGAAAATTACAGTCATTTGACAGTTAGTCCCCCCTGCAGTGACAGAGACGTGTGCAGGCTCCAGTCCCTGGTCCATACAGACTCTTCACGGAGGCCTGGGTGGCTGGTTCTTCTCCCCAGAGGTGGTGCTCCCTCATGTTCCTCGTTGTGAAGATCGCCTACCTCGCCATACCCCATCCAGCCACATACTGCTCCGCTCTCCTTACCCCATCCCCCAGTAATCTGGATTACTGCACTCAGAGTTTCCCAATTACCCCTCATGCGGGCCGCAGCATGGTGGAAACAGCGCTTTTTAAAAATAACTGTTTTTTCCGCTAATGTGTGCACCGTAATGCCTCGTTTTTGCCTCGTTTGCATTTCCAGCCGTCCCCCCCAGTCTAATGTGGGTGGGTGACTGGTTAAGTTTCTCTAATTTTGGCATGACTTAAGCCGCCTGTTTGGGACTTTCAGCCCAGACTAGCAGCCCTGCATCACTTCCGCCACAGAGCTGAATTGAATGTTCTGTCTCTGTCATTTATCTGGGTGCTGACTCCTGGGCCTGCGAGATAATCATGTTTTGTTTCGGTCGCGCAGACCGTTGCGTCTGCATGGGCGTGGTCAGCTGATCTGTTGGAGACTCCACTCAACCCGACCACATCTGCTTCCAGTCTAAGGGCTCCTGTGACAGTGAGCTTAATCAGAGAGGACACACTAAGGGAAAGACCTATTTTAGGGCCACCAGGAGTCCGGACCCCCTCGGCGCCTTTATTTTAAGCTCAGCAGAGGATATTGTTAGAACAACATTGATCGGCCAAGGTCTGCTGGCCTGTCTGACATCCTTATTCACTGCCACTGTCCCCTAGGGAACCTCCTCACCCAACGTCAACAGGCGGAAACCAAGGGCAGGTTTTATTTCAATGTGAAGAGACCAAAGCATCTG